TGGTAAATGAACCCTAAGATAAAGGGATCCTCTTCAGCATGCTTGCTTTCGACCGAAATGTAACTTATTTACTAAGTTTTACGATGTAATAAAAACTGTCTTATGATTTGTACAGCATTCTGAAGGCTTTAGTTGGGCATTTCAAAATTTAAGTTGATTATTTCCATACTTAGAGAGAGAGAAATTGTATTAGTCAGGCCCCAAGGACACGCAGCTTTTCTAATCAGGTTTATTTGCCGAGGAGCATTTCAAGTAATGGGCAGCCTGCAAGAGCTTTCACTGGAGGTAAGTAAAATTCTGATCACCATCTCCTAGTAATTATTGCACAGGAAGAAAATCCCTTATTGCAAGGCCTAGCAGGCAGTGGCAAAAATACATTCTGCTGAGGACGGACACTGCAGCATGAATGTTTTTTTTTAGCAGTGAGCTTGTGTACTGACTGTGCAGCACCAGCTGCGTCCGTGTTAACACTTTCTTAGGCCGCGCACAGAGTGCCGAGGAGTGCGTCATTTAAATCTCTGCAAGGCCGTGCCTTTCTTTCAGCTCAGGTTTTGCTATTGTTTTTGGCCCGGACACCTTAATGCCTTCTGGATGTATATCCTAGGCCTGCTCCCCCATCTGGCTCATAAACATGCTGTAAGTTTGTGACAACAATCACTGAAATGGTTCTGTTGGATGTGCTCACCACCCATCCTAGTTTGTAAGCCTCGAGAGAGGAACTGAAGAGGCACATCACCGCCTTCCCCGATGGTGTTTTGTGACACACTTTGTCTTCATGCATTAGCCAACAGGTAGGAGGGAGCAGGCGACAGAGAAAATGCCGGGACCCGGGCTCCTGCAGGCACAGAGACACACTCCTCGCTAAACTCAGCGTGGGGCCCATGAAGAATCGCCAAGGCTGCGGAGAACGGCTGCCACCCTGGGTCACTATTTTATTCACGTCACGCAGGGATCTCCAACCAACCCCCCGAGGACTGGAGTGGCTGCTGGAACAGAGGTGAAATTAGCCTTTGTACTGGACACCCTCCTCCACCTTCCAGAGTCACGGCCTCCTGGCTGCTCACTGGCTGAGTCTCCAAGGGGTGGACGTGTTAATCAGGAGTGTCTAAATGCAGGGCTGGGGACACATCGGGGTGGCCAGTGCCAACAGGCGCCCCCAGGTGGTCGTGGCGGGGACTGCAGGCAGCATGCTCTGCCCCGGGCCCCCTTGTGCACCTGCCACCATAGAAAGAAGAAGCATCAGCCTTGGAGGCGTCAGGGATGAAGAGAGAGGCGCCCCCTGCCCACCCCGCCCTCACACAGGAAGGGCGGTCGCCTTAAAGAAGGCCGCCCTGGACTTTCAGAGGCGACCTCATAGGGGCAGGTGCACCCTGGTGCTCCCCAACATGGCCTGAAACTGATCTGCCGGGACCCCAGGCTGCTTCCATGAGAGAAAAAATTCAAAGGGTTCGTCAGACTTGGGCAGAAACATGTCACAGGGAAGGAGGAGGGAGTGAGAAGAAAAGACCAGAGAAACAGAAAACATGAGGGATAAAGGATCAGAGAAGCAGGAGTTGCGGACCTTGAGAAGTCGGGTTACGACACTAAAACACGAGGCGCCCAAATCTCTGTGGGAGACCACAGCACGCAAGTCAGGGCTCCCCGGCGATGACTGTGGGGGCTGGAACAAGGCGGCTCTCTCGGGCCCCAGGACGAATTCACTGCCTCATTTGACTTTCGCCTGGGCAGTGGCCTGGACTTCGGCTGAACTGGCATCATTGATGCTACTTCTAAACGACGTCAGCAGGGCCCACCCTGCAGGGTTCGGACGCCCCTGCTTTCTGCCAGTGTGGAAATTTCGAAGGCTTTGTGACCACAGACTGGCCCGCAGCACCGGTACCTCGGACGCTGGAGTACGCCCTGGACGCCCGCTTCAGTTCCTCTGCTAGAGGAGCAGCTTGGCCAAGGGGCTTGCTGTTGTGTGAAAGTATCCACGTGGCAACTCCGGAAACCAGGAACCGCAGGCTGTCAAAATGTTTTGACAACGTGCTTTCCTTTCAGAAGGGCGAATTCACGTCTGGAATGCAGTCAGGCACGATACGGCAAGCAGAAGGCAGGGAGAGGCAGCGGCGCACTGAGGTGCTGGACACCGTGGCCTCTCTTCTCGGGGGCAGAGGACAGAGCTGGCCACCAGCAAGGCTGACAGAGCACAGCTGGTCCCAGCAGGACCTCAGGCGCCAAGCTCTGTTCTCGAAAGAGTAGATGGAGCCCTCCCTCACGGCGCAAGCACTGTGAAGCTGTCCACAGCCGCCGCAGCTTAAGTCTGATCCCCAGCCGGGGAGTGACCCACGGGGTGCAGCAGACCTCTCCTCTCTCCCTGCTGCTCCCCTCACTAGTGTATTTTGGTCAATCCACCTGTTCTGCTCCCCACTCTGTCTTTGGTGACTCCTCTCACCCCCCACACCTCTGGCCTGTACCCCATAAATAAATCTTAAAAAAAAAAAAAAAAAGTCTCAGCCCTCCCTGGTGGCCCAGCGGGTTAAAGCACAGCACAGAGAAGCTAAATCCACTTGCGCATGAGCTCGATCCCCGCCTGCCCCGGAGGTGACCCCAGGGCACGGCAGACCTCTCCTGGCCCGCCCGCTGCTCCCCTTAGCAGTGTACTTCATTAGTCTGCCTGTTCTGCTCCCCACTCTGTCTCTGGTGAATCCTCTCACCCCTGCACCTCTTGCCTGCACCCCAGTTCTTGAATGCATAAACAAATAAAAATAAATAAAAATAAATCTTAAAAAAAGAAAAAAGAGCAGAATCACAGGGACACCTCATCTCTCCGAGCACCTTCCTATGCTCTGCATTTTGCATGATGGAAACTTGTTGGCCCTTTCTGAAAAGGAAACCTGCCTTCAATGTGTCCCCATGGGGCTTGCAGAGACACCTTTGATGTGGCCAGGTGCACGGAGTGACACGCAGTACCTGCGCCAGGCTGGGTAAGGCCGGAGGACAGGCTTTCGGCTCCTCGCTGTGCCTCCCTCAGCACCGCATGCACGGCACTAGGACCAGGCCGTCCCTGCCCTGGCCTGTCTGGAGACGCCATGGTCTTGTCAACCTCTGCCTGTGGCTGAGTTTCCTTGGCTGAGATTCGCCTTCAATACAGAGTGCTCCCAGGGAAGGGAGTTGGGGTGGGACAGATCCAAATTCTGGTCAGAGGCAATTCCCTTCACCATGAAATGAGAGTGGCAGATGCCCTCAGGTCACTGGTCCTGGTCATCCGTAGCCAGACCTCACTGTTCAAGACCCCCCCGACGCCTGTCTTCCTCACCCACACCAGGCCCTTTCTCTTGCAGGCACTCTCACTTAGCACCCAGGAACACAAGGGCTGGCGTTCTCACACACACACAGCAGAGACCTGCTTCAACCCCCCGACTCCCCTAAGGTCACACATAACACATGCACAGCATAGTTTCATCTAACCAGACCCACACCACCCATGCTTGTTTAGTGCAAAACCTTAATAACATTGCAACCCTTAACTTTTTCCCAATATAGACAGTTCTCCACTCAGAGACAGGAAAAATGATTTGGCCTCATTCTAATTTAGCTAAGAGCATGAAAGAGCTGCAACAATCATGGGAAAGGGTGGAAATCTAAGAAAACAGGCTGCGGCTAGGTGTCTTGACCCGACATCGAACAAACATGTATGCATAACTCTCTTGCTTCAGCAGTGTATTTTCTGAAGTAAACAAATTCACATAGACTTCACCAGCACAGTCTCAGGAAATTCTAGAATTGAGAAGGAAAGTTGGCAGTGGCATCATGGATAGATAAAAGGTCCTTAGTGTGAGACTCAACCTTGCAACCGACCTGCCAAATTCTAGTTTTGGGGGCACTTAGATGAAGCCAAAAATAAACCACAAAGAAGAACAAAATAAAATCAAGAAGATAATTTTGAGTTTCCATCTGAGGCTGCAGTGAAAACACGAGGGACCACAGTGAAAGATTCATGTCTACTGGACACACATCGGCCAGAGATGTACTGAAAATGTCCCCTTCTCCTCATTCCATCCTCACGGCTGCAGAAGGTGCTTACTGCCGTTATCTCTATATTATCAAACTCAAACACTGCATGTCTGTAAAGGCTTTCTCTCAGGTTCACTTTTTAAAAAACCCATATTAAGTAACAGCATCATCACCTGGAGATTTTCAGTAAGCAAAAATATTCAAGAAATTTACTGTTACATAGTTCGCTCTTAACCAGACCACGAAGCAAAACATATACCTTGTCAGCAGTAAGTCACCTACCTTGTCAACTGTCTTTAAAGTCACTCTTCTGGGGCCTCCCTGGCGGCCTAGGGGTGAGTCTCAGAACTATCACCACTGCAGCCTGAGTTCCACCCTTGGCCGGGGAGTGACCCACCTGGTGCCGCAGACCCCTCTTATATCCCTGCTGCTCCTCTCAGCAGCTCAGCAATGTCTTTCAGTCAATCTGCCTGCTCTGTTCCCAACTCTATGGTGAATTCCACCCACACCTCTGGCCTGTACCCCAGTTCTGCTATGCAAAAAGAAGTAAAATATTGAAAAAAAAAAGTCATTCTGCCAATGAGCAATTATTTTCATCAGTTATTATGCTAATTTATTTAATATTATTATTCTCTTAATAACTATTATTTTATTATGAAAAGCTATCATTATTGTTATATCAGCTATTATAAAACCCATTCCAGTGATGACCAGTGGGTGTTCTAAGATGTTGGACTTTTCTAATCACATGAACAAGATAGAACTATGATCACAGCACTGGTGTGAAGGTTCTGTCTCCTGGATTCTAATGATTCAATGTAGTCCACACACTGACATCTGCTTCACTTTGCACCTGTTTGTCCCTCCACAGACACACATTGGGGCTACCTATGCCGGGGGCCTCTGAGAGGCCCTGAACCACACACTGGCTCAGTGCACCTGCTACCCAGCTAGAAAACAGTCCCCCGACCTCACAGCCAGCTGTGCCGCGAGTAATGACTAACCTGTGACCAACTCCCGGATCTCCAGGTCTGTGCTCTTGCGGAGTAACCTCACCAGCGCGGGGATCCCGCCACAGTTTTTCAGGGCGATTTTGTTATCGTCATTGGCCTTCCCGTACACCAAGTTTCTCAAGGCTCCACAGGCACTGCGGTGCACTTCCGTCATCCGGTGGTCCAAGAGATCCACCAGCAGCTGGATGCCTCCTTGTCTCCTTATCTGAAAGACACAGGACACAGATCTTGCCTTAGCGAGTACGGTTCCACTACTTAAACCAAAGCAGAGGTTTCACATCAAGTACTGCAGGTCCTCGAATCACGTCCTTCTGTTCAAATTGCTTGTTGATGAGGAAAGAAGAGAATCCTGACCAAAGGTGAAGAGACATCAACACAGGGCCTGCTTGTGATACATGTTGTTTCCCTTAAAGTGGAAAGTTTCTAAGAACCAACTGACAACACTGAGGACCTCAAGTAGCTGCTGTAATTCACTGTACTGAACTGAATTAGGCAAACCGAAGGGAGAGAAAACAAGCACCTGTTCTTAGTAGATATTATTGCTTTTACTTGCTTAAATAGTCTCTTTTGATAAAAATCCAAATGCATTTCTTTTCCAATGACTGAAAAGAATTTTGGACAGGTGATTCTACTGCACAACCTCATAGAGGTCTGTCAGACATTCCTCTGTATAAATCTATGTCACTCAGGCACGAAGCAGACAGGGGAAAAGTTATGTCTCCCACTCCTAAGACTTTTTCAATGTAACCACTGAGTTTAAGGGCTGTAGGGGTGATGTACAAAGTGTCAGGTATGCTTTTTAGGGAAACACGCCCCGCTTTAGTAATTAGATGCTAAAAGAGAAATCATAAGAACTGATACAGGATTTTCATCAGAGAAGATCTAAAAAATAAGCGAGTGCTCCCTGCAACAGCCAGACAGAATACGAAGACTGGACCTAGCCACCTGATGAAAGACAATGACAAAGTCACATTAGAGTTTCAAGTTCTTTTCACCCAGACTATTTTTACTTTTTTTTTCTTTTAAGACTTATTTATTTATGCCGACAGAACTGGGGAGCAGGTCAGAGGTGCAGGGGGTGAGAGGCTTCACCAGAGACAGAGTGGGGAGCAGAACAGACGGATGAAGTACACTGCTGAGGGGAGCAGCGGGCGGATCAGGAGTTGTCTGCTGTGACCTATGGGTCACCTCTGGGGCAGGGGATTGAACTCGCACTGAAGCCACTGTGGCTAGCTTGCATTGGTGCGTCCTGACCCACTGCGCCACCAGGGAGGGCCCCAATTTTGAAATTTAAATGGCACATAAACTGGCTGGTTAACATCCAGACTATCTTGTGGACTTTCTCACTAGCCAAGCTGTATTTGATTATTTCTCCAGTTACAGGGAAAAATAACAAGGTTCATCCAGTAATACTCTTTCCTTTTTTTTAACTTCAAGGCCCCTCAGGGATCAAAAGATTAGAACCTGGCATGAAGGAGTATAATTTGGCACCTTCTCTACTTAGTTTTCCTATTCCAGAAAACTCATTCAGTCCACAGATGTGCCAGGGCACCTGGTTAAATCGCTCTACTCTTTGAAAGGTGCTTAAATGCTACTGTATCAGTGAGCTGGCTTAAACCACACTATTCACAACTGCTACCTGCACCATGCCCTCTCTCCAAACCAGTCTTCCTATTTTACCTTACTCCATCATTGAATTCTCCATAACACAGGACATGTTCGTATTTGTTGTTTATTGGTACTGTCTGTCTTCTACTAGAGTGGGTGTTGTTCGAGGGTACCTCTCTGGTTCTCGGTGTCAGTCTCCAGTGCAATGCCAAGCACACAGTAGATGTCCAGTGACTCTTTGTGAGCGAACAGCAGGGAGGGCACAAGACTTGACACATCAGGGCTGCTCAGGGAACACTCAGCTTTTCAAAAGTAGGTCACAGATTTAGACTTGTAATGGAGAAGTTAATGCAATAGACACACGTGTTCATTTTCAGCAAGAACACCCGAAACTTACACAACGTTATAATGCAATTTTACTTCAAAAAAAGAAATCAATATCCTGCTTTAGAGGACAGTGAAGAATGTCTCCAGGGGGTTAGTTGTTTTTCCTACGCCAGCTTACAAACACAACAGGGCGGGTGTGGCTCACATTTGGGCGGGCCACCCAGTGACTCAGAGCACTCCTGCTGGGGAAGTCCAGTCCCGTCACCAGAATGAACACAGGAGACGTCAAAATCGTCATACAACTCAATGCCTCTCAGTACTTAATTTGGAAAACATGAATGTGATATTTCAAGTACATGATTTCATGCAGAGGTAAGATTTCAACTTCTTGGGATGAATACCAGGGAGCATGACGCTGGATTATATATAACATATATGGATATATATAAACACACACACACATATGAATTAATTAAAAATATCTATGTTGAAATACATATAGGAGAAACAATAGCTTGAATTGAATCAGGACCAGACAGATCTCTTATCTGTTACTTTTCTGAACCTGATAGAATCAGACAAGGCCCAGAACAGACTGTTCGTACAGCACCTGAGCGGGCAGTCTTAAACTCCAGAACTGAAAGTGTCTAAAGTCACTCAAGAGTAAGATGCAAAGATTTTCTACCTTGTCCTGCCTTTCATTGTCATTCTTTCTCTCTATGGAATTGAACGACTGGATGGAAAATTAAATGCAAGAAAAAAGCAAGCAATGCAATATCATTCATTGCAAGTAACAGAGTCTCCACCACTTAATGGGTTTGTTAACCTCCATGTACATTTATTGAGAATACAATACCTTCGCCAATGAATTCTCTAACAGTGAGTTAATATCAGTATCGATGAATAATTTAAAGCATATTCAATTAGAGCAGCGTTTGTATGTTTCTGAGTCTTCATAAAATTATAATGATAGATGATGTACAGTTGGCTATAAATCCATTTAACATGGAATAGAATTTCTCTTGGGAGGTTCGTGGCTGGTAGGTATTCAGAGAGATGAGGGAGATGGCCTATTCTGCTTCAGAAGGGGGAGGACTCTGGTGCCAGGGTTAGAAGAGGCTGGAGTAAAGTTTTTGTTAGAAGTAATTGGTTGGTGAGGCAGAGACCTCAAGTATTTAAAGACCTGGGTACAGGTTTCTATGTATCTCAGGGACCTATTATTTCATTTTAAGCAACATGGATATACTTTTAGGCTTACAGTTTAGGGCTAAAGGATGCTAGCCTGGACTTGAGACTCTACAACTAGTAATGAGCTTAGGGAAGTTACTGTTCCCTAATCAGCAAGTTCCCCTGAGAACTGGTTTATACAGGAGGCTGACTAAAAAGAAATGATTTGGATTAAGTGATTTTCAGTAAAATTCCAATTAACTGCTATTTTCAAAGCTGTTGTTTTGAAAAATCAAAAACAAATCAATAAAGTTGTCTTATAGCTCTTGCTAATGTTTAAAAATTAAATCATTTTCACTGCTTAGAAAGCTACTGAATGATACAAAGGTAGCAGAGGCTTAACCTGAAGTAAAAGACTGTGTTCAACTTTAATGTAGAAACCGCAAAGTTATAATTTGTAATTACACATTCACCTCACTGAATTCTATCCCTTCATTTAGAGTAAAGTCAATGATGTTTTCCATATCATTTCAATTGATTATACATTTAGTAGCCTCTGAGTAAAATAGAGGTATCATTCATAAAGGTCAAAATCTTTATTAGTTTTATGGTGGAAATTATTTTTGAGGAAAAAAAACTCTCTGTTATAATTGTGTCAAGTTGCTGTAATCAATATTCAGACCATGATGGGTTATGTCTTATTAACTTATGCTTCAAAGAGAGGTAAACTGCAGTGTTTGGGGGTGCTGGTTAGAAGCTAGAGAAACTGAGCCAAGCATTCCTCTTCCTCCTAATACCTGTGTGCTACAGGGCACGTCACCTCCATGTTTTTAAAATGAGAACAGGGAACCCCCTGGTGGCACAGGGGTTAAGTCTCAGCACTATCTGCATTATGCCCTGAGTCCGATTCCCGCCAGGGAGTGACCCCCAGGGTGCAGCAGACCTTTCCTGCCTCCCTGCTGCTCCCCTCAGCAGTGGATTTCAGTGGATTCACCTGTTCTGCTCCCCACTCTGTCGCTGGGAATCCTCTCACCCACCACACCTCTGCCTACAGCCCATTTCTTCTACACAAAAATAAACTTAAAAAAACAAAATTCGGGGCCCTCCCTGGTGGCGCAGCGGGTTAAAGCACTGCACTGAGAATCTAAAGCTGCTTCCGCATGAGTTCCATCCCTGCCTGCCCCGGAGGAGACCACATGGCGCGGCAGACCTCTCCTGACCTCGCCCGCTGCTCCCCTCAGCAGTGTGCTTCGTCTATCTGCCTGTTCTGCTCCCCACTCTGTCTCCGGTGAATCCTCTCACCCACCACACTTCTGGCCTGTACCCCAGATCTGTAAGCATAAATAAATAAATCTTAAAAAAAAAAAAAAGTATTATCTAAAAAAAAAAAAAAAACAAAATTCAAAACTAAGTAAGTAAATGTAAAGAAGAACAGGAGTGCAATGACTTCTTGTTATGATAACTAATTCACAAAAAAATGCATTCAAAATAATTTGGAGGTTGATCTAACTCTTGGAAAAGGAAGAAATACTTTTTTAAAGTACACAGAGAGTTATTTAGCAAAAGAGAGAAGGACCAGGTTTTGGTTTTATTATCAAATGTACTTACACACATGACGATTGCAACGAGCAATGAATGCTGGAGCCAGTCACAAAATGTCACAATACCAGTTAACTGACTCGGAGGACCCCAAACTCTTGTAGATTTTCTTGGCTACTCCTCATAACCGAGATGCAGGCTGTTGCAGGTTTGGTTTCCTCTGTGTCTAGTCAACGCTATTTACTTTCTGAGACTCAGTGGAAAAGGTCAAGTAGTCCAGACATACGTTATGATTTAGATCTTTCCACTCTACAGGTCCCTACATCCTGTCCTTGCATTGGACGTTTAGAAACCTGCCTGCACAGCAGTAAAGACCTATTTAGATACAAAGAAGCCCTGTCCTTGAAAAGCTATGAAAAACAAAGAAGATCAGTAGCCAAGGCTCCTAGGGTACCTTGATGTAGAGATCCTGGAGCAAACCAAGTAATGTGTGACTGACTCCAGGGAGAGCGAGGAGGGCCAGGGAGCAAGCGCAGAGTGCAGGGAGAGAGGACGGGAAGGAGA